CTCCGATTGCCTTGGTGGGAGTTTGAACTGCAAACATATGTTCATCGGAAGTGAAGGGAGCACCCTTGAGGGGGGTTGATATGCAGGTGATCTGAGAGGTTTCAAGGAGGTGCAAGTTGGCAGGAAGGGGAGAGGAAGACGTCTTGCGCGGTGAAGGCGAGCACGCAGACGAGACAAGAGAGGGCGAATGGTCAGGGGAGTAGTGCTTTTGTGGTGATGTCTCAAGACGCCGCCTGGAGGAAGGTCGGTGATTAGGAACCCGGCAGCTCCTTTTCACGCTGGTCACAAAGGGATAGATGCAAAAAAACGGGGGCTAATAATAGACACGCCAGCTGGGAGCTCTGATACAATAAAGCAAGAAACATAGAGGTCATGGCAGTAGCAAGTATTGCGACCCGCGAACTCCACTTAAAATTAAAATGCCTAGACACTGGTCGTCTTTTTAAAGGATAAAATTCTCTCAAAAACTATTCGTCTGCCTTCGTTTGAGAACACCTCAGCATAATCAGCTGCCAAAAACCCCCATTAGGATAGATGGATTATGTGGTTCTCGAGTGGTTAACACCCTATTTTTATCGCCTGTTCAAATGTCTGATCTCCGACCAACCATTTAGCGTGGCGATTGGAAACGGATGAAAAATAGACTTCGTCTCTATTGACTGGGCATCAACACTGTCCGGCGATATCGACAAGGTTTGGGGTCAATTCAAAGAGCTGACATGGCAAACCAAGGCTACAGTTTCCACAGTCGACAGGTGGTGGCTGCTGAAGCTCAGCGCATGTGAACTTTGATTTTCCGACAGACTTTATTCTTCGGTCCACCAAAATTTTTGCGACAAAGGTCTACAGTTGGTTTACATCTCCTTTTTGGATTGGAGCTGCATACTTCAATACGGTTCCGTTTGAGGACGACGAATATAACTTGCATATACACACCCCCGTGACTGCCAGACCGTTTCGGCTTAGTTCACAAAGGTAGTATGTCGTTCACCACCTGGGACGATATTTTCGGATATTAGCCTATGCCGAATAAGGCATATGACCCAACGATCTAGTCATCTTCTGCGGCCTTAGCACCAATTGGAGCACACTCCCATATTTCCCAAACACGTGTGATTATAGGAACATAGAATAGACTTACGACAAATTAGGGTTGGTTAGGTTTGCACTGGGGGTGGTAGCAGTGTCCAGCCAGACGTCAAAATCTTTTCTAGCCGAAACCTGAAGCAAGGAGGGAAATTGAACATTTAAACTTTGCAAAAAAGAACAGCTAGCAGTAGAAAAGTAAAATATGACACAGTCTTTTTATACATGTGAAGAGACTATGAAGTGAGAAGAAGACGGCTCGATCGCTGGGACTACTTTTATTCGCCTGACGTTTCGAGATCCGTCGCGGGTTCGCCATCAGAGAGATATTCAGATAGCAGTAGCAGATACGGGTCTCACGAAGGGATACGGGTCTACTGCTATCTGACTATGTCTCTGATGACGAACCCGCAACAGATCTCGAAACGTCAGGCAAATAAAAGTATTGTTCCAGCGATTGAGTCTTCTTCTTTATTACTTCCTGGAACTCGCATGTTCGCTTGTATTGCCATATTATGGAGTAGCTAATTCTGGCAGAAAATAATCAATATGAACTTAGTCCTTTCTTGTAATACTTTATGAGAAGCAAACTGATAAAAGATGAGAAGAGAGACGGGAAAGTCGTGGGACTATAATCGACCGAGTTCACACTTCGGACGACTTTTTCTTCAACTTGTCCCACATTTGGGTGTCCATATGATCCACCCGAACCAAGTCAGCAAGAACATGGATTTGGTTAAAAGAAAGCAGCAGGACTGTAATCACTAAAAATAAGCAAACTGTTGAACTAAGACCCGCTTTCTGTGTCCACTTTACATTCAGGTACACAAAAATATGTTTACTGATATAACACCCATTAACAGCTAGGGGTAGGCATAAATGTATGGTTACCACTTGGTTTTTTTTCCCAAGTAATGTTGATGTGCCGTAGAGGAGACAACATACAGCTCCATGGGAGTCATAGGCCCGTCCAGACAGCCTTATCACTGAACACAGTTGTAACCATCAGTGCAATTCGGCGGCCACTTGGCGCCCAGTCAATCCTATTTCAGAATTATTGTGTATTTGTTCAAACACAAGGGGCACAAAAGTATGCCCTGCAAAATACTGGTTGCCAGTTGGACTGTTGGTTTCGACGAGGTTCACCATGCACTCGAAACAATGTTACAGACGGTGACTTGCGTTGCATTTACCACACTCTCTCTCTTCCTTCGACCGCCCGCTAGCCCGAGGCCGGTGTCAAGGTTGATTCAAGAAGACCGGAGGCGGGATCGAGAGCAAATAGCTGGTGCAGCGGGCTACTACGCATCTTCTCCCCCCCCCACCCGGGGAATGAGTACTGGAGGCCGGTGTTTCTACTGTCGGCTGTAGACAAAGTTTCAACCAAACGCTTTGGGAGATGAGGATTCCCGAATACAAGGACGGAATACCGACAGAACAACGCTAGTAACACTCACTTCTGTTCCATACGCCCTTACCACTAGTGCATACTTAGGGTCGCACTGACTTTCTGTCTGAAAAAAAAAACGATTAGAAACAACCACAATGTGGTAAGAGCTTCATTAAGACGGAGTGGCGTGCGCCCAACTATTGTGACTGCAGGATGGAAGACGAAACTCCAGGCAGACGCGTTATTGACCAATGAAACGACACGATGCACTGGTGAATGAATTATCTTCTTAGGCCTCAAAACGCCCACAGGCTGGAGCTTCTGGCCGCAAGTTAATTGAAAAAGTGGGGCTCTGTATACTATGCAGACATTCTATGCAACAGCAAAGCTGAGGGGCAACCCAGTATTGGCTTAATGCAGACTTATTGCGATAAACTAAAAGTGCTGTTTGATAACGCCACCTGATTGACAAAATATCTTATTCTGACACTGTGACATTCAGCATGTCAATATCATATTCGGAATCTTACTTGCTAATAATTCATTTATTTATTTAACTGCTCGTTGGTAACCCTACTTAGCTGAAGCCATGTCCTTATTTCCACCTGGTCATCTATCGATTCCTCGGGCCCTGTGCCCCCCGATCTAATTTGCTGCCCTCGCATTCGTTGCCCCTCCTCGTTCATTGTTCCCTGCCCACTGGTAGTCAGGCGTCTGCGCTATTTGCGCGACTGCTCGTCAGATCAACTTGAATAACCACAAAGAATATGAGTTATATCGACCGCCTTTTGACATAGCGCAAAATCACGAAAGGCTAAACTATATTATAACAGTGTGCAAACCAAGAGTGTACTCGCGATGCTGCCGCGAAGACAGGCAAAGTAGATGGAAAAACGAATTCGTCTAAGACTGGCTATCCCTCCGGGATTCAAGAGTAGAGATATCCACTGGGTCATAATAATGAACCATTTGAGCTGCTACACAGTGTTTGCTGCCTTAGGCAGACAAAATTGTTTTTCGGGTCAACAACATGCGTGGCATTTATTTAAACCCAAGTGAACCTTCGAAATCGGCTTAGGACTAGTCATAAGGTAAAATTTACGAGTAAAAGGAACTTCTGTTAAGAGAAGCGTTCAATATGGTGCGTTTGGTGTTGAAAATGTTTGAGGCTCCCATTCGATTTATGGAATTTCTTCCTCCGAGTATCCAGATGTCGATCAGGAAAACTAATGGGTCAATTATACCAACTCAAGGAGTCCGGGCGTATGCTATTGCAAGCGGGAGGCGAAGCTGTTAGGAACATAACCTGGCTCGAGCCCGACGGCAGCGCCGATGTGAGCAATTTAAGAAACAAACGGATGTTGTGAAAGCTGTCCCTGAGTCAGTTCCTGGATCCGCAGTCTTCAAACTGTGTGGCTGGGGTGCCCGCAGGTCTAAATTGCTCGGGAGTCTGCCATCGACCAGCCTCTCGGTGTGAGTGACACCTTTATTTGGGTTCTACCTCTTCTTGGTAAGATGTTGACTTTTAATAACGAGGGGGATAAACGAATTTCG